CTTGAAGCAAGAGGCAGAATTTATTTGTGGTGGGAAAGGTTTAAGTTGGTGACAAAGAGACAACTTGTCCTGGTGCTGTGCAAACTCTCTATAGGCACCCAATTCCCACACTACTCCCAGTGCATCTGCAGGAACTGCAGAAACCTGCACCACTGCAGCCTAAATCCAATGAGAATGAGTCAGAAACCTGGCAGCTCACTTGAGCTACTTTTGCAAAAGCAGGTTCCATTCTGTGATCCTTTCTTCCTCATCCTCCTCCCCCCATTCCCCACCTTTTATGAGCAACCATATCTAAATACCTAAAACTGGCTACTCTTGCACAGCCCTTGATTTGGAAGGAAATTGCTCAGATGAGGCAATACTTGAACTTTTCACATCTTTACAGAGCTTTTCTTCTGGAATATTTAATATTAACACAAGAAACAGCCTTAGTATGTCTCTTGTGCAGAGAGAATAACAGGATCAGCACCTCAAAGTAATAACGACATAAAGGACAACAGGAATCCCACTTACCTACCAAAAGCGTCTTAGGTTGTGCAACTTGTTTACGATGGCAAATCTTGGCAGCCAGCACGAGGAGCCTGGGATGGGATTCCAGTTCAGCCCGAACAGCCTCTCTACAAGTCCCAACAAAAATGAGCACCATTCAGATTTTGCCACGCCAAATTCGTACCCCAACTTGGCTCCAGCAGCAGGCGTGTGGGGGACATTCTCACCCCTGCCTACGCCATAGCGTTACTCCCAGAAGATCTGACCAGATAAGATTCCCCATCTGAGCCATTGAGATATGCCTTGGTGATGAGTAGGTAAGTACGAAGTTCAGAAAGCCTTTTCCCTGCACAACCCACTGACAGGTGACCAAGGTCAAGCTCTCATCCAAGTCTAGCAAGATGAGCACTGACAAAGAAGCACAAGCAATAGTTACCCACAAGTCAACTGGTTAGAGAATAGGTATTTCCGGGTCCAGCTCCCCATATGTCTAAGAAATGGATCTATTTGATTTGACCATTAATGGAATCATAGAATCAACTTGGTTGGAAAAGACCTCTAAGATCATCAAAAACCAACTGTTACCCCAGGACTGCCAAAGCCACCACTAAACCCGTGTCCCTGAGCACAACATCCACACATCTTTTAAACACCTCCATGGATGGCAACTCCAGCCCTGCCCTGGGAAGCCTATTCCAAGGCCTGACCACCCTCTGGGGAAAGAACTGTTCTTAATCTCCATCTAAACCTCCCCTGGTGCAGCTTGAGGCCATTTCCCCTTGCCTTATCAGAAGAGACTGACCCCCACCTCACTACAACCTACCGACTCCTCCTTCTGTTACTGTGCTAGTGACAGAAAAGTGGGATCTGCCTTCCAGTGTGGTGAATTTTTCCACAAGCAGTGCATTATTTAGGAAGTCCATTCAAAACCATTGGGCCAGATACATTTTCTGGGGAAAAACTCACAAAATTAGAAGTTTCCATACTGCCTATAGCCTAATTTCTTAGGATGTGGGGAAAAATCACTTTTCTCCCACAGACAGAATGGTTCCTTAGTTATAAAGCCATGAAAGTGGAAACAGCTACTCTTTATTGTTTACCTGACTATGTGGCAGCTGGGGTGGAGAGTCTGCATTGCATTTGCTCAGGGAATCTGAAATGGAGCTTTAAAGTTTTGTTTCAGATTGAACCAAAATATTTGGAACCTTGTAGATCACACTTTGGGTTAATTTAAACAAGTTTTCCCTTTTATTTCCTGGCCCAGTCAAACTAAAGAATTTCAGCTGTCTACCAGTTGCCAAGTAGGTATCTCCCCACACATTTTGGGTCCAATCACAGCAATAATAGCTTCCTTTGAGGATATAAAGCAAAGCTGTGATCCATAAGCTCCAAGCAAAAAACCCTAAATAGTGGAAAAGAGCAGATTCCAAGCGTAAAAGTCAGTGAAGTTTTTTACTATCCATTCTCAAAGTACATGAACTCAGGATACTGGATGCTGATAAAATCCTCAGGTCATATTGCTGCCATTAATTCATAGAATCATAGAACAGAAGGGATCTCAGCCTAGCTCACTATTTTGGTTTCACTGACAAAGCCTACACATTTCTCCAGGAAAGTACTCTGTAACAAAGAAGCATACAATAGTTAGGGGTGGAAAGGACCTTAAGATCATCTAGTTCCAGCCCCCATTGCTCAGGAAAAGACTCTCCCAGCATCGTCAATGGACTTCTTAGCATCTAAACAGTCAAGAAACAAACAGCAGAGAGGCCAAGTGGACAATTGCTTTGCCCAAGGTTGGAATGACGGTCAACACCAGATCAGGATTAAGAAGCGTGCTCTGCGGCATCCTGTGAGTGCTCTGTTGTCTCCACAGTAAAGACCAGATTGACAGAGGATAACAAGTGAGGTTATTACAGAAGTATTTGCAGAATGAACAAGTTAGCCCTTTATATGACTCCTAAAATCCACCTGTGAAGTAGGTGACTTTATGTAGACATAATACCCTAAATCTTGGAAAGGAAATATGCCAGGAATGTGAAGGGATGCGTTTGGTTTCACAGAAGCCCTCTCAAAGACCTCCAGCTTTTCCCAAATGAAGAAAAAAAAAGGGGATAAAGGTGACAGGAAGAAATTTTCACAAACATGAAGTCATTTCACTTTCTTGTTCATCAGCAGAGAAGTGGCTAAAAGGAATGCAAAGCATTTACTAGCAGGGCAGGAATCATTCAAAACCGGAGTGAGCCCATTAATTACCGAAGTAAATACAATTAACACAGCCTCGAAAGAGTTTACATAAGCTTCTTTGAAAAAATACCCCCTCTACCAAGCAAGAGTGTCTAATTTAGAAGTGAAATTAGGAAGCTGGCTTGAGATAAAACAGCCAAGGAGACGCTTGCAAAATGCAGTTCCTTAGTTGTGCGAGAAAAGATAAATGCTATGAAGCCACCAAGGCCGTTAGCACAATTACCAAACCACTGAGTACTTGGGAGATGCTGCAAGGTAACAGAAGATGAAAGAAAAAAGCCAAGGTGGGGGAAAAGGCAGTATTTTCCCTAAGATAAAGGTGCAGAAAGGTAAAAAGAAACACAAAAGGCGCTGAACTGGTAACTTCTGATGAAAAACACTGTCCATGCCTACTTTGGGGTTGTCCACATCTGAGTCTGAAGTGCCCCCCCTCAAATAGTACAGCTCTGAAGTTTTACTTTAATCAGTTAAAATGCTTAAGGTCAAAAACCAAACTTAAACACACCTGCCTTCCATTTCCTACAGGAGAAATTGAGATACCTTCACCTGGGAGCTACATCCCAGTAGTTTGCACTGCACAGACAGCGTCAGGAAATGATGGGAACGTAGGTGGTGCTGACACTCCACATTTTTAGCATAGTTTTGGAAGTCTGCGAAGGGTAAAGAGAAGCTTTGGTCAGGCTGTGAAGTGTCTTTTCAGGGGATTCACAGCATCTTCATTAAAACCTCCAAGTGCCTCCAGAGAAAACAGCAGCCACTAAAAGTCACACCTCCCTCTAGCAGGGGAAGGCTGAGCTGCTTGAAGTTACAGCCAGGACTGGGACGTGATAAAACAGATTCAGAATGAGGAGAAACACTCCTTAGTCTGGGTAATCCTTGCCCGGAGGAAGAGTCCACAGCCCTGCACGTCTCATTGGGTGACAACGGCCGGACAGGAGGGTGGAGGCTCTGGCTCCGAGCGTGCCGTTACAGGAGCACGGGTTGAGACCAGCCTGTGCTTGTGGGCATCCTTGTCCACAGAAGGGTGCAGCTGATGTTTCTGCTGGTGGAAGGACAGGGCAGGATAACAGCAAACCCTGCCTCAGGTCTCGCTTCAGGATACACAGTGCTTCTGATGTCTAGGAAAGCATTGAAGAGCAAGGCAGTGCTGCTCAACTTTATGCCAAAATTCTGGAGCCGGTGTGCCTTCTGCAAAGCTACTTGCTTTCTGCATCAGATCTCCAAGCTTTTTGTTCCTTCCTACTACAGAAATAACAGCCTAAATAGGCCCCACACCTCTAAGCAACCTGATCTTTTTGAAGATGTCCCTGCCCCTGCCTAGTTGAAGATGTCTCATTGCGAGGGGGTTGGATTAGATGACCTTTGAAGGTCCCTTCCAACCCAAACTATTCTATGATTCTAAGCCCATTTGATGCTGGACTTGGTCCATGTGGACTCACCCAAAACCTGTTAAGCTTTTAGCCAGATTCTGCTAACCTCAGGTAAAGCATCTCAGGGATTCAGCAGGGATTGTAAAGCACAAAGCCAGGCTAACACAGCCAGGCCACATCCAGACCCAGCACTGCACACCCCATGCTCCTAACTCAAAGCTCACACAAGAGAAGAGGCAGTTCAGGTCTGCCTACACCAGCAGGATAGACATGCCCTTTGGCTATCAGTTTTGTAGGTGTGGGGCTGCACCCTCCAAAAGGAACCTCTGCACTCAGTTTGCCTACAACCATGACAAGAGGCAAAAATATCCGGCTCTTCTAAAGGATGAAAGGCAGGCGCTCGAAGGATTAAGTCACCAGCTTCTTCCCTTCCTTTCAGAGCTGGTGAACCATGCAGCAATGCATGTCAGCTGTGTTGGTTTTAAGTCGGGAGCCAGAACAATGCAGCCTGTCTTTCCTGGTGTGCACCTCCAGGGAGGATTCCCGCAAGCTCTCCTCCGAACAGGGCGATGTAGGTGGCAAACAAAAGAGAAAAGCTCTTCAACTTTTGACCCTCCTGCAGTTTACAAATTGAGAAGAGTTCATGTCATCGTGAATGAGCCAAGAGGCAGCTCGCAGAGCCCTCTGGCCCGCGATGCACGTGCCTCTGCACTTTGTCACCTCCTGAAAGGGTTTGTCCTGTTCCCACCATGGAGCAGGAGAATGGGGCCAATGGAGCCCTCTGGCCCGTGATGCACGTGCCTCTGCACTTTGTCACCCCCTGAAAGGGTTTGTCCTGTTCCCACCATGGAGCAGGAGAATGGGGCCAATGGAGCCCTCTGGCCCGTGATGCACGTGCCTCTGCACTTTGTCACCCCCTGAAAGGGTTTGTCCTGTTCCCACCATGGAGCAGGAGAATGGGGCCAATGGTTCCCAGGAAGTTTTGCCTATGGATGTGCCTTTCTGCAGCAGTAGCAAATAAAATAAAGCCCTGAGGTCCAAAGGCCAAGCCACGTCTGTGATTGATAGATGCTAGTCCTGGACCCACAGGAGATGACAACAGCTTTAATAAACCTAGAGAGATGTATTCCTTATGTCTTCTTGTCTCCAAGTGACCTCGGGCACCTTTCACACCTAGTACTGGGATGGCCTGAATGGATTCACGCTCAGAGCATCTACTACCTGGAAGTAGGAAGGGACACCAGACCTCTTGTTTGTGTAAGTGGGGAAAACTAAACACAGGAAGGACAGGGAGGAATTGAGCATAACTACCTCAGAGCCCATGACCTTTGCTACGAGGGAATGCCTGTCCTGTTAAGGAGAACCAAAACCGTAGGACCACTACAGTCAAAACTACACTCTGCAGCACACTGTAGTTTTTCCACTGCATTGGGGTTGTCTTAGGTTTATTTAAAGCAGTATTTCCATCACATGCTTTGCTGGATTTGGTCAGATATGTGTAAAGACAATACCAAGGATGACAACTAGAGCTCATGTAACCCATACAAACTGCATCCCCATCCTTCCTCAAAGAGGGCTTCTTCCAAACTTACTGTAGCTACAGAGTATCCCCAGGAATTCCTGGCAAGTTAAATAAAATGCTCTGGAAAGACCAAGTCCATGTTTTCATACATGGAGAAAAGTCAGCCAGCCTTCTCAGGATGATGGGACTGCCAGTACTTGCCAGCTGGTGTGGGCTGGATAGAGATAAATACATATAAATAGGCAGATATATATGGCATCGACTTAGACAACAACATCAAGTGAGCCAGCATTCACATCCTGGTGCAAACACTAATTCCATCCTTTCCCCGAGTCAGTCGGGTCTGAAGCCACAAAGTCACACTCACCCAAAGGCAGGATGGAGATCCACATGGCACTGAGCTTGAGCTACAGGTTATGGGCTGGCACGCAGCCGGCTCAGGGTAGGAACATGCATCTGCATCTGACTGCATTTTAGTGAGCTGCAGAGGAAAATTAGGGCTTCCTAAGAAACAAGGCTGAGAATCAGAAGCCCTCTTCTCTGCTGATACACCATCCTGCCACCACAAGCATTTCCCAGGCTTACTTTGCAGGACCTTTTGTACCTTCACCTGCTGCCATCACACTTCCTTACAAGCAAGCACAAGCCAGGAGGGAAAGTATAAAATATAAACCTTCATTAAAGATTTTGTAAGAAGTCAATGAGGCCAAAATAACAGAGGATGTAATAGAGCCATAAATATCTCCCACAGCCATAAACACTTCTACCTGCTGCAGCCTGGGCATTTATAAGTGCTTCAGGCGTTCAGCGTCATGTTCACACTTATTCCAGCATTTACCATCCAAGAAGCCAGAGGTAGGAAGACGTGGTGCCATGCACAGAATCAGACAGCAGCCTGGTTTTATTATACTGGCTTGGGTACCTTTCCTGGACTCTCTTTTCTGTGGATTAGGGCTTCTGCTTCACCCAAGTTCTGGCTGAGCTCAGGGCCCATTATATTCATGTACACACAGACTATAAAGTGTCTCAGAAGAGACTTTCTCTAAGCAGATAAAGGGGATAAAAACATCTTTCCTGAACTTTAGGCTTAAAAGGAAACAAAACAGGATTTCCTTTATCCAAGACTGATACTACAAAAGCTGCTTACTTCCCAGTAAGTCTTCTCTTGAATGCCCCAACAGTGCCAAAAGCCCTCTAGAAAGTGGAGAACACTTCTCAGGTCCCTAAGGACAAGTGGATTCTTGGGAACACCAATCCACTGCATCATCCCCCACATTAACCTGGGAAAGCTGAAAGTCTTTGGCTATCCCAAGGAAATTCCTTTTTCTGGCCTTAAAGCACCAGCTGTAGTGGGATAAATCCTTGTGGCCAGCCAGCTTATTGACACAAACCTTCAGGCACCCATCTTCCTTCCTAGGCCTAGGGTTTCCAGGTACTGAACAATGTAATTGCCTGCACATCCCACCACTTCCAAGAGGCACAGGACAAAAGCTGAAGGGTTTTGGCAGTAGGTAGATGGGTTGACAAGAATCTAGGTGGTTAAAGGGTCCCCAGACTAGAGTATTAATGCCCATTAGACTCAGGTGTGGTTTTTCCATTACCCAAAATGCATCCTCCCCTCAACCCTCAGCGCATCTACAGGCATTCATCAGCTTTTTCAGAACCCTCCTAAGATATTCCACAACCTTCCCCCTCTCACACCATCACATTTCCAGCTTTCCCAAGCCTCACTGGAGATCTCCAGCTAGCTTCATTCCCTGCTTCACACTGCCAAGTGTCTACAGCAACAGTTACACATTGTGTAATTGTTGTATGCATAGTGTATGTTTGTAGTGTACACTTAATACCCCAGTCATGGCAAGAGGTGAAGAAGTCACTTATGTTTGATTGATGAAGCATCTCTTCAATATTGACAGAGGTCCACAAGGGACACAGAAACAAGCCTAAACTTTTCCTAATGGATTCTGGAGGCTCTTTTACTTTGCTGCAGAGCTACAGCTTGTCCTGAAATCATAACCCACCTTGAGGATCAGGGATGGATCAGCAGTGGGATATCAGCCAAGTGCCATGGAGTCACCTCACTACAGATGTTTTTGCTTAAGCTGTTCATTTTGTTATGGAAAACCAAAGGTGTTTGCTACTTGCTCCTTAGCAAAAGCTGTCATTGGACAAGAGATCATGATTCACCTCCAGAGGGACCTCAAGATAAGTGACATTTGCAAGGCTTAATCATGACCTTGTGAACAATGGGTGAATCAGAGAGCTGAACTTTACATCACTCATCCAGATTAATGTGGCCTTGGAGATCCCAGGCCAAACATTAGTTAGTTCCTCCCCTAGATGATTCAGAACTAAGATTAACCAGAGAGAAAGCATGAAGCCAAGCAGAATTATTTACAAAGCTTAGTTAAGCAGGAAATGTTTTCCTTGTCCATGACTTGAAGATTACATTATCCCACTATTATATGTCCTTTGGAAGTTTTTCATAAATATGGGGACAGGAAGGAAGAAGGACAAATAGGTCAGTTATTAGAGAGCTCACATGAGATATGAGAGCAATTGTAACCTTCTGCACTATGTGAATCACACATGGAAGATGAACCCTAATGACTAGTATGCCAAACGCTTGCTAATCTGACCATAAGAACCAGCTTCATCCTGGACCAAATACCTCCCTCTAGGTGGTACTAATTCATCAGCAGGATGCCCACAAAGAAGTCCTTTTTTCAGCAAATCAGTATTTTCCAGGAAAACACTCAAAAAGGTCATCAGGACTATTTCAAGTTTCTTTTACAAGAAACAAAAGGGACCAGGTCCAGATCCCAAAGCCACTGAGAACCCAAGTTTCCCAGGGTTCAAAGTTGTAGTTTACACCATATCAAAGAAAGTAGTGCAACTTACGGCAAATATTTCAACTTTCTCAAGAGAAAAGACAAGAACAAGTTACTCATCTTCCTAATCCTTCACATTGTGGGGTAAAAAACAAGCACAAAACCTCAGCTCCTACCTTCAGCTGCTGCCATCACAACACCTCTGCCTCACATCTCCCAGGCTCAAAAAGCCCTAGGCAGCTGCTATCTTCTTAAATTTCTTTTAAAGAAAAGCTGATCATTTCCCACATTAAGTAATTAATTGTACCTGAGCTCTTCCCAACTCCCAGCTAAAGCTGACGAGCAATTCTCACCTCTTCTGGGTTTGACATACACCTTCTAGGAAGGGAGATCTGAAAGCAGAAAGCTCAGCAAAAGCCAGCTAGGACCTGCCCATGCAGTTCTACACCACTCAATGCAGAGGAATTTGCCTTGTAGAATTCAGGCTTGCAAGGAGCAGAAGTAAGGGTTGTTACTGCCTTGGTAACTGCTTGCACTGGAGGAGGGTGGCCAAGGTTCATGGGGCTGGGCCACAGCCAACAGGCAATCACAGCTTGAGATAACTTGATGGCAGTGCCTAAGGTGCATAATCTGTCTTTCTCTCCTCCAACAACCATCTTCTGTTTAAGGAACCACTTGTTGGGCCACTCTTTTCCTTCTGTGCATCCAGGCTCTTTAAAACGACAGTTTCCCTGTGCAGAATAGCTGAACTGACTACATTCAAGCTAAAGTGAGAGCTCAGAGATGCATTGAGCTCCACGTTGCTCTGGCCAGTTTCCTATTATGACCCCAGTGAGATGATTAACCACATCTCTGCACTGCAAAGAGGCATAGGTAACTTCTGTTGCATCCTCCTTTTCTTATAAATAGAACAATTCACAGCAACAATAAGCAGTGATACTAAACAGTGCTGCAGGCTGGCCAGAAGGAAAGGTGTCACTGACTGCAATTGCAGTCTCTATAAAACACTTTCTCTATAAAAGATGCTCAGAGCTTCCTGGGTAGCAGCATTCATGATTTTTGGAAATAAAGGAGATGGATCCATCTGATGTCAGCTCCAGCCTTGACCTTTCTTGTAGCTATACTGCTTTCTGTTATCAGCACTACAAGTATCATCCAGATGTCCTGTGAGGAACCAGGTCTCATAATATATAGAGAAACAGAGAGATCACTGGAAGCACACGGAATCACAACGTCCTGATACTCCCATACAGAGTATTCACTTCACACCATGGCCCTGTTTAGGCATCACCTAAGTTTCAGCTCTGAAATGAAAGGAATGGAGATAGAAAAACCTTAAGAGTCACTGACCCTTGGCTCAAGGTGAATTGAATCCACACTCACAGAGGATCAAGCAAGCCCATGCAAGCCTTGCAGAACCTTGCAGGAGTGCAGCATTTTTCTGCTCTGGATTTATGCAGCTCATGTAAGAATCAGTGCCAAGATCCATTACTGCCTGCTTTCTCTCTGCCTTCGATTTCGTAGCCTAATCTCCACTTTAACCTACACTGAACCACAGAAGAACAAACAGTGGCCACCCTCCTCCCTCCCCGGGAGCACTAGCTTCTATTTATGGGTCCCCTGGGGAGAAAACAGTCGTGGCCATTGTATTTGTTTAAGGGTTTTCTGTAATTTCCTTGGGTTTGACTGCAGCCTCTGAGGTTAACCACAGCCAGCTATTGTGGCTGTGTCTTCATCATTCCCTATTGTTCCGCGCTAGGTGGCTCTGCCTTGTTTTCTTGGAAGGTCAAGAGATTGTTTGTCATTTCTGGCTTGGTGCTCAACCGGGAGAGGGTGATGGAAGGGGGGGGGGGAGAGGAAAAGCGGCTCCTTCTTTTTTAGGACTGTGGGTTTCTGAGAAAGAAAGTGTCACTGACCAACGAAGGTCAGCCCGAGGTTGCTTAGATGGTATTTGTAACAGCAGGAGGCTCTAACCAGCTCCCTGCTTTGATAGGATTCCCTTGAGGGGTTTCGAGATAATGCCAAGAATCTCCCACTTCTGGCTTCTTCCACCGGGGTGTTCTGCAAGTCTTTTCTCCTGAGAAAAGGAGAGGGACATCCCATGTAAAGCCTTTCCCTGGCTGTGGCAGGATTAGCCGCTTTTGCACTGCATGCTGACCTTTTGCTACTGTAATGCTGAACTTGCGCGCCGCTGCCAAGAGGCAATCCTTTTTCTGGCTTCCAGTTTTGCTCCCTTATGGGAGGACACAGTCATTCTCCAGCCACATAGAGACAAATTCTTCCCAGCTCGTCTCTGTCAGTGCCTAAGACTGGAAACTTACCTCATCGTCACGGATGCATCCTGGAGCCAAGGGCTTGGACTCTGATTCATGCCTAGAGGGAAAGGAAGGAGCAGGAGAGCAAGACTCCATTGGCTTCACCGAGTTACACCAAGGAGTCAACAAGGGGAGCAGTGTAATCTAGTGCATAGGACACTGAACAAGGAATAAGGGAACCTGGCTTCTAGCTTTAATATGGCAACCTGCTTTTTGATTCAGGCAATGACACTGTCTCATAGAGCTTTTCTTCTCCTTATGCATTCTTCTTCCAGTGATGTCTGCCCCAAGTTACAAGTTGAAGCATTGGATTGAGTTAGTCATCTATCTAACTCAGGGATTGGAGAGAAAAAGACATTGAGGAAAATACTTCACCCAGTGCAGATCTGTTGTCTAACATGGCTTAGAGGAGGTGACACAGATATCCTCCTCATGCTCTTCCCCACCCTTCTCCTCTTGTTTGTTGTAAGAGCAAATAGGGCCAGGCCAAGGGGAATGGCTTTAACCTGCCCGAGGGGAGACTGAGATGAGCTCTTAGGCAGAAGCTCTTCCCTGGGAGGGTGCTGAGGTGCTGCCCAGAGAAGCTGTGGCTGCCCCATCCCTGGCAGTGTTCAAGGCCAGGTTGGACACAGGGGCTTGGAGCAAGCTGCTCCAGTGGAAGGGGTCCCTGCCTGTGGCAGGGGTTGGAGCTGGAGGAGCTTTAAGGTCCCTTCCAACTCAACCATTCTGTGATTCTAAGTGGGTCCCCCCTTTCAGGCACGTCAGTGTCCTGGGTCCTCTTTGAGCAGAAGCTACAACTTTCATCAGAAGTCTTGGTGTCAGAGCTCTCTATTAGGGGTTTCTACTTATGATGTGGTATCTGGGCATTCTCCTTCGGCTAAACCAGAAATCATGACACCCACTTCTGGCACCCTCAGTAACCTGACAGGGACCAAGAGGGTCATCTTTAAATGCTGAAAATTCCCACAGATCTCACCCTTTAGTGGGAGGGTAGGAGTACTTAACACAACATCCTACAGCTGATATATCATGCTCTCTATGATCTCCCTTCAGCAAAGCAGGTTTATTTTCATCTCCTTCCCTTCAGCGGGGCATTTTAGGTGTGCAAAAGGGAACAGTTAATGGAGCACCAGCAAAGGTACTGATCCAAAGCATGGACAGTCTTCCACAAAGGAATGAGGGGAAATCAGCAACATTTAGGCCAAGAAAAGCATAAAAGTAATCCCAGTTATGGATACGGCCTAGAACACATCAGTCATCCCCAGCAGAAGATATACATCATCAAACACAGGTCCTGGATCTGCTTTGAACCCCCAGAATGGAAATATAGCTAGAAAGTAATTTTAATGATTTGAATTTATCCAAATGCCTTCATCCAGCTTCCCTCTCTTTCACCCAAATCCTCCATTGCAGCGAATCACAAGATTTCCTAAAGATCTCACCATGTATTTGGCTGATAAAACAAGTGGCCAGTATTCCCCAGAGCTGCCCAGCTCTGCAGCGACAGGGTAGAAACTCAGGTACCTTCATCTGTTGTGAAGTTTTGCCTGAACACGTGGATGGCAGCTCATTCCGTTCATAGGAGCATCAGCAAGGCAGTGCAATGAGCATCAGAGGAGAGTATGTTAAGAAAAGCCTAAGACCTCAGCTAGTTAAAAAAGGGGCATTTTGACAAGCCAGAATCCACCCAGCAGGATGAGCAGAAACCCCGAAGAAAAGCCAAAAGTGAAGGTTGTCCCTCCCATGGGACACCACTGGCCAAATCTCATTTTAAAAGGCTTTTCTATTTTCCTCCTCAGCCCATCGCTGATGTGTTCCACTCCTGGGAAGAGATTTATGCCAATTAGTCAAGCCACTGCACCACGATACTATATAAAAATGGATATTAAAGCAAATGCAATGAGTCACCCATCCCAATCTCTAACAGTCGTCAGCCCGGCTGTGTAACAAGCTGTTGACATACCACTGGGAAATGAATGTTAGCAAGAACAGCCACTCGTCTCTGCCTCAAGCACCCTTGACCTTGCTTTGAGATCTCAGAAGTGGCCTGTGAGACATATGAAGCCAATTACCTTTGCCTAAAATTGCCCTTCAAGGGCCTCATTCCACCGTAGCCCCCTCCTCAGCTTCTGCTGAGCTTCCGAGTGTCATTCAAAGCTGGGGTGCAACCAAAGCCTGTGTGAGACAATCTGTGTAAGACATCAGCCAGCAGCAGCAATGCAGCTTATTGATTGCTGTTGTTAATTATTAACCCTTTGGTTGCTCTGGGGGGGAGCCAGCAAAGCTGGGGCTCAGCTGCTGCTGGTGGGGAGGACACAACATGCAAGGGGACTTTGGCTGAGCATCATCTCAGCCAGCATGGGACATAGTGGGTAGAGATGGCACTGGGGTAAAACAAACCCCATGGAATGCTCCTGCAAGAAGAGGAATGGCAGAAAGGAGGGGGAGAGAGGAGACAGAGCTTGGGAGAACCACTAAATGTCACTACTGCAGGGAAGAAGAGGGAAGGAAACAGAGGAGAGCACCTCTTGTTTCAACCCAGCAGCCACCCTAACTTCATCACAGACTGGGAAAAAAGGATTGCCCTATTTCGCTGACTTCCCCTAAAAAGCATCTCCTCTGCCTGCTCCCAGAGCAGCCCTGTCTGTACCAGCTTTTCTCCTCCAGAAATCCAGCATCGGGCATTGCAAGTGCTGCCTCAAGCCAGACTATCATTATGTTTGGGCAAGGAACCAGAGCTTGAGCACCCTCAGCCAGGCTGTGGAGGAAACTGGCTGGATGTCAACAGTTTTGTCCAACGAGGTCAATGCAATGCTTTACTTCAGCACGCTGCACTGGGCCTCCAGATGAGCAGGGTGTCTGAAGCTTCATGTGCAGCTCAGCACAGGGGCTGTGTCTCTGTCAGAGAGGACTGAGC